TGCTCGGAAATGCAGACTATGAAAACTTTGCAAAGACAATTTGACTCACATACAGATTAAACCAAGTGCTTTGGAAAGGCGTGACCTTGTGATTTCCCAAACTTCCTTAAACCGTTCCAATTAAAAGAAGGGCAATGCCATGACCTTACACAAATTCTTCAGTTAAAGATCAAATTCTTTTCTTGCACCAAACAAACAATACAAAGGCATTATGACACAACTGAGTTATTTAAATTTATGCAAACTAACAATAATGTAATCAACACTATTTGACAGAGTTCTCTTGACAGCTGTTTCAACATGTTCTACATACCTAAAACCCACATGCCTGCCAATCTGCATTGTTTCTGGTCCAACCATATTTTTTTTCCCACAATCTTCTAGAGTCTAAATGTTTTACTTAAATGTTGCTGCATCTAGCTAGTATTTCAGGTTGGCCAGTGTTTTCGGCCTGATATTAGTATGAACTAAATGTTGCTTCCCTAGCTATAAAGTATATGAAGTAAATACTTTACATAACTTACATTTTCAGCTTTCGGTCTTACGTAAACTGATTAACACATTATAAATAACATTATGACGACACAGGGTTACATTAAAGCAAGAGTCGACTGTATAATGTATGACAAGGGTATTGTTTATAAATATCAGGTAATCATGTGTTGTAAATGTTCAAATGTAAATTTGTCTGCAATGTCTAAGCAACCACTCAGAAAACCCCATCAACTGCATAGCAACACCCAAGCAACCACCCAGAATACATTTGAAACCCCAAAAAACACCCTATAAACTGAAAAGCAACCACCCAGGGCCAGAATACTTTAGCACCTGCATAGCAACCTCCAAGCAATCACCCAAAACACACTAGCAACTACCCCGCAATCACCCAGACAAAGCAATTGCAAGGCATCTATCTGTTTAATTGAAATGTATGGCCTTAAAACCTTCAAGCTTTTAGTTTTTCTTTTAAGACTACTTCAAACATCCAAAAACATTCATCTTAAAACCTCAAGTCTTCAAGCTTTTAAAATGTACTTTTAAACTTTTGCCCAGACTTTGACTTGAGAAGTCACCATCAACTTTTCTTTTGTCTAGTTGCAATATTTATTGGCCAAAACAGCAGTGCATTTTATTTGTGCAATTTGACATCTCAATTTCCATTGTGACAAATTACTCCATACAAGGTGTCTATTGAACATGTTGTCACAAAAGTTCAGTGACATTTTCTCCTGGGCAATAATAGTGAAAATATCCATAAGCTTTTTAGCCAAGAATAAAATATGTGCCTACATACAGAAGATCTATACAGAAGAACTATAAAGAAGAGTAAAATGTGTGACAATTATTAAAGTTATTAAACGTAATTTCAGGAGGATCGTCCATCTCATCTTCTAAGTATACCAGGATGTAAATGTAGCCTCCTATTTTCTTATATTCGAATACTTCGAATACTTTCGGGAAATTTTGGTTTTTGAACACTCCAACATTCCACAAACACCTACTCATCTTTCTCCAGACACCCTCACTGAAGCACCAAAGCAAATCAGTAGGCGGCTATTCTCCTATCCTTCCTTGTCCATTGCTCATTTCAGCTGGCAGTCGCGGTAGCGGGCAATTATAGTTCCCCTACAATTCTCCCCTCATTAACCCTCGCCTACTTACACGCTGTCCAAAGACATAGTTGTCGCCTCTCAAATCAAATCAACATTCAGATGCAGTGTGTGCTCTCCCGTTCAAATGCAGTGTGAGCTTTCACGATTCAATCATGGTCTCTCCTGTTGGAATTGCTGTGTTGGCTCCCCTGTTCGAATGCAGTGAGAGCCTACCGTTTGGATGCAGCAAGGGCTCTCCCCTTCCGAATTGCAGTGTGATCCCTCATGTTTTTAATCATGGAGGCTCTGCATTCGGATTGCAGTGTGAGTCCTGTCTGAGCGCTTCGCGACTGGAGGTGCTAGAATACCCCCACCTGGAGGGGACAGGCCTTTGCATCCACTCCACTTTTTGCAGAAAATGCATATCGATTCGTATACGGAAAACTTTGGTGGAATCAATAGTTTTGTGTCATCTGGACTATTGTTCCATCATTTGGGGTTCAACTACAGATAATAATTTAAACAGATTACAGATTGCACAAAGTAAAGCATCTCGGCTTGTTCTAAACTGTTATTTTAGAACAAGTATCAGGGACATGCACAATCAGTTAGCATGGCTTCATGTAAGAAGCAGAATTAATTATTCTCTTATTAAAGGTTCTCTAAGCGATGTCGGGTGACGTCACTTCTTGTTGACGTTTAAAGTATTGTCAAACAAAACGCAGGCTAGCTAGACCCTCCCTCCTCCTCATCCGCGCACTAACCCCCCAAACCCCGCCCCCAAGTCCTTCTTGTCGGTGATTGGCTGGAACTGTTTGTCATGTTTCGTGGAGCGGGTTAGCCCAGTTTGTTTTTGTTGCTGTTTGTGGAGCCTGGGCTGTCTACAGAGATCGCGTTTCTTTACAGTGTGTTCAGGGGACAGGCAGCCAGCGGTTAGTGAGGAGATGTTTGCTGTATGTGACAAAAAATGTTTTGGCCTAAAAAACGCGTGACATCGCTTAGAGCACCTTTAAATTCTTAACAAATATAATTATTACAAAAGCACCTGAAATTATTTATAGAAGATTGACCTTCTTCAGTGGCGTTCATAGCTATTCCTCTCGTCAATCAAGTGAAGGGCGTTTCTTGTTACCTGCCTGTCGAACAAATCAACTTCAAAGAACATCGTGTTATAGAGCAATGGTGGCATGGAACTGGTTCCTGTTATTTTTGGTCTCAGAGAGTCACAATGTTAGTTTTTCCAAAAGATTGAGACTGTATTTATTTACTTTGGAGTAACTGTAATTATGTAATTAATAATGACTGGAAAATGAGCTATGATAATTGAAATGTGTTTTTCATATTTTATATTATACCCAGAGAGTGGTAATATTTTATACATAGAAGAGCTTACATTGTGATCTTATGTTGTTATGTTTAGTGTATATGTGTTGTGCTGTGTTGTGTGTGTGTGTGAGAGTTCGATGACTTATATGATGTTGTGTGCACTTCTGTATTTGTCTTCATAACTCCTTTAAAAAGGGTCATAGGAGAGGTGTGGCTATTCTAATACCTAACTCAGTCTGCTTTGAATTCTGCAAGGAAATTAGTGACAAGGAAGGAAGATATATTTTAGTAAGGGGCAAAATTGAGAATAAAATGGTCACATTGGTCAATGTATATGCCCCTCCAGATTGCGGTAAAAGTTTTTTTAAGTCCCTTTTCAATGTAGTAGCTCTAAAGAGAACCATGAATGTGTCGTTATTCTGAGTCTTGATGCAAAAAAGGCATTTGATCGTGTCAATTGGGCCTTTCTGTACCAGGTGCTTGAAAGATTTGGATTTAATGAAAATTCAGTACAGTGTATTAGAACAATTTATTCAGAACCAACAGCCAGAATCAAAGTTAATGGTCATTTGTCAGCCACTTTCAATCTAAGTAGGGGTACAAGAGAGGGCTGCTGTTTGAGCCCCACTCTTTTTGCTCTTTATATTGAGCCTTTGGCCCAAGCAGTAAGGTAAAGTGAGGAATCGGGTGGGATAAGAATTGGAGGTGACCATCATGTGATTGGGTTGTTTGCTGATGATGTCACTATTTATCTTAAGGAGCCTGAAACTGCTCTCCCATTACTTATGAACCTACTGGAAGATTATGGGATCTGGATATAAATTAAATGTCTCAAAAACTCAAAAAAAAAAAAAGAAAAGAAAAAAAAAGGAACCAGCATCAGCTGTCATTAGCAGGTCATTTGTAACTCTCACTAAGGCTGTTTCAGTGCTGTGGGCTGGACGGAAGCCAGACTGAAACTTTTCAAAGATGTTTGTTGTGTTTGAGGTGGTCTGAGTAACGTCTGGGAAGCAGCAGAGTAGCCTGCGGGTCAGTAGTTGGAACAGACGAGGAGGAGGAAACAGAAAGGGATGAGCGAATTTTAGCAATTTTGCTGCTAAAAAAGCCAAGGTCATAAAGTTGTTACATTGTTCTTCTGTAGCTCCTATGAGTGGGGCAATTTGAGGTTTAAGGAGATGATTTATGGTATGGTACAACCATTTGGAATTGCCAGGACTATTATTAATATTAATAATATTAATTGAAACAGTGCTGATAGCCTACATGACCCGAGTTCGAATCCACCTTTTGCCAAACTCGCTCTACTCCCTTTTCCCATCACATATCAGATCACAAATCATTATTTTCAATAATATATATATATATATATATATATATATATATATATAGGCTATTTGAAAAATGGAAATTAAGTGTCTAACATGTGTTTAATAAAAAAGTGTTAATCGGTTAGGTGTAGGTGTAGGAGGGTTTTACTGTCCCAATAAGGCAGCATCCATTTAATACGTTTAATAATTTACAATATGTTATTATTGCATACAGTTTAATGTACAACAACACTGAGGTGCAAATAATATCTGCCAATATAAGTACAAATAGCATCTAACTACTATTTAACTACCGAGGGAATTAAGCTGTGTGTGTGTGTTTTTTGTTTTGTTTTGTTTTTTAATGTTGTTTATTTATTTCTGGTGCATTTAAATGTCTTATAGCCTACTCCTTGTTCGGTATCCTTGAGTGCCGAGAAAGTCGCCTTTAAATAAAATGTATTTTTTATTATTATTATTATTATTTACACTTATGGCAAAGAAACTTAATGAACCTCAAAATCACCATACAATTCATAGACCTTTAATCAGGCACTGCTCATGCTTGAGTCATAGAGCATTACTTATTGTAATGGGGTTTCGAATGGTCTTACCCCAACATTTAATGTAATGCTGTGTGTGAACACGCAATAGTAATGCCCACGTAATTGTTTATTTGCTCAAGAATTTGGCACGGAGTCAAGCGCAGGTCTTGCGTGAGCAAAGCAGGAAGCGACACTGGATTGATTTGACCGAGAGAGCCTCATGTTTTCAAGATGCCGAAACTTAACGAGTAGGCTGTTTGTTTTGGGCGTTGAAGAAAACACGTGGGAGAATTGGCATATATAGGCTAGAGGAGTCCGAGCCGAGGGAATGAAGCGGTGCTTTTTAAACTATCCGTTATGGAGATGGGGAAAGAAGAGATTGCCGCTAAAGAGTGCGTGGTTTTAATGAAGCCCGCGAGCCGTCTGAAGACACAGTTCCACTCACTGCGGCGACAGGTATACTTCTTCCAGTCCATATGTGTGCTATTCTGCTTCACCAGCTGCCTGTTCACGATCATCAATCACGCATACCCGTCGACGTGCAAGGTAAGACGGATTCAAAGTCAACTTACAACAGTCATGTCACTACTTAGTGATACAGTGAAGTTTATCATTTGCTTTGCTGAATAGCCTACACCATATACACCACACACCAAATATAATATGGTATCATTCAAATCTTACAGTCAGATATGTAGGCTACATGGTACTGTTATTAAAAACGTTTAGTAACTGGAATCCATAGGCCTACTAGTGTACTGCATATTGTAATTTATATCCTACTAGCTAATTAAGCCTGAAATAAGAACCTATAGCCTATCTACTAGTGGCATAGTACGAAATAAGTACTAGTAGGCCTACTAGTTAAACTAGGACAGGTGCCAGTAGTCATGGGAAAACTTAGTTGTCAGAAGTAAATAGTTGATAACACAGTAAATAGGATATAATACCAACAGAATAAGTAGGCTAGTATCTAATAAAGAAGTAATGATACATTACTAGTGTTATTGAAAAATATGTTGCTCATTATTGACTTATTTAATGTTTTTATTGATAAAAAAGTAGTTATGCCTGAGATAATCAATACACTGATGTTTTTTTATTGATAAAAAAGTACAGTTATGCCTGAGATAATCAATACACTGATTAATTTAGGATTCATTGCGTGTTTATTAAACTGTTTACATTTGCTCTATATTTTCACAGGAAAATATAACTGAGGCACCTAAAATTGGTGAGTTCATTACTAAAGCTGAATTTTATTGTAAATATTGATTTTAGTGTCTTTCACATTGTGGTACCATGATGCATTATATATATATATATATATATGACATCTTGAATATCACATTTTTCATCCATATAGGAATGCAGCGTCAGAGCAGCAACGCAATGACCCCGACACAAATAAACACATCCATCACTCGTCTGACAGGTAAGAAGTAATGTATTAAGTTCATTAAGAAGTAAGTCATTAGTAGACATACCGGTAAATACAAAACATAATCATCAATTCACCATTTGGAAACGATTAACTGTAACCAAGAGATGTTCCTTTAATCAGACAACTTGTGCCTTAGTACTTGCTGTAATATAGGGCCTGAAAAAGTAACTTTAAATAGACAGCATCTGTTTAAATTTGTTTACAATTAAACATTAAGTAGAGCCGCATGATTAATTATTAAAAAGATCATGACCTTGATTCAAACACCCACGCCATCGTATTCCTAATTGACAACGATTTAGCTATGCCTATTAAAACTTGGACAAGTGCGATCGCAGCGGAACATTCAAATAATTATTTCTGTGTTATAATAATTAAAACGATTGCAGAAGTACTGGGATAAAAATGTATAGATCGGATGTCACTAATGTCTATGGTAGAGATCGAAATAGAGTAAATCACCATTTGAAAGTATACTTGACGCTTCAAATAATTCATTCAAATTAATCAAAAATGTTTGAAGTGTTATTTTGTTTCGTTGTTTATTCAGAATCGTCGGAGAATTGTGATCTCTATTTTAAAAAAAAAAGAAGTTTTTAGTGCTAAATAAAGTATTAACATTAAGGAGTTTCATCACTGTCATTGAGCAGGTGAAACAGATATGTTTGAGCCAGATGTTAGACAACACCATATCATATGTCATTTTCATTCTCAAAGATTCTTAAAACATTTTTTGGCTAAATGTATTTACACGTTTCCCTTCTCTGTAGTGAAAGAAAGTGATTTGCCTAAAGACGGAATTTTTGCTAAAGAAGAACAACTTGTGCCATGGCAGCTCTCACTAGAAAATCTGGCACCAAACCATATCCAATACTTGACCTTGGAAAACAAAACATCTCTGAGGGTCATTCGTGACGGAACGTACAAAGTTTCTTTGCAGATCACGTACAGAGGAACCAATGAATGGATGAACACAATTGATGGGAGCTACATTCTGGAGCATAATATTAAGCATCACACTGACAGATATAGTAAAGAGGCCCTGCTTCTGCTCACCTACATTGAAACAGTGACATTTACATCCCGATACTGGAAAAAAAGTATGTTCTCTGAAGGTATTTTTTTCCTCGAATCTGGGGATAGACTCGAGGTAGGGACCAACAGTCTGCCCCTTATTGATTCTGGAAAAAATGCGGGGAAAAAAACAGTCTTTGTGGTGTATCCTCATTTTTCCACATGAGGAGAATATGGCGAAAATAAAAACAAAAATGACATTCCCTCTGTGCTTTGCACAAAGATCGAAAGGGCTACCATGAATGATGTATCATATTCATTTGTCTGTCATCTAAACCGGTTATTTTACTGTCAGCAGAATAATTTGGATCTCAGATATATTTGAGATATAATCAATAAAGCCATCTACAGATACGTTGGAACAGTGACTGTGTCACATGTTAATACCAGGGTACTTTGATATATACTTGGTACTGAAATAATTTCCTTCTAGGGTATTTTTTCAAGAACATGTCAAAAGAAAAAAAAACATGCTATTACCATAGTAGGCTACTTTTGGGTATTTTTGTATGTTCTGCTTCAAAGCTACATTTGAAAGCATTGCAATGGAGGAGAAATTGTAATGAAGTATTTTTGTTCTATTTTGATTGAATTTGTTCAGAAGATAAAACAATGAGTTTTCTTCCCAGTAATCTCAAAGCTTTGTGTGGACAGACGGATTGTATGTTATAATATTTATGTCATTGTAACCTTATTTATGGCTTTTGTATGCTATTTATGTTCAATAGTTAAGGATTTGGGTTGCTAATGCAAAGGTTACAATTACGGTAACATTACGGAACGAAGAGAATGATCACAATCCTTATACTGCGGTGTTCCATCTTATGCTTTTGAGGTACATTATGGGTGCTGTCATTGGAATTAGTAGGCTATTACTTTTTGATTAAAAGGGTTAGCAGTTTCTTGAAATCACCAAATATCACATTTGTAATGATTTGCATGAAAGATCTTTTATGTACATGAATGCACCTTCAAAATGACATTATTTCTCTGGCCATAAAGCATCAATAAATACTATTACATAAAGCCAGTGTCTGTCTCAGAAAATTCTTAATATTTTTCTGAAGTTTTACACTATATCAGATATATTATTTTCTGCTGCGTTTCAGAGATGCCAGATAACCACTTAAAAGCAACCATTTGCTTGATATTTCATTTTATATTATAATTATATTTAAGGCATCTGAAAAGGCGTAGAAAATGGCTTTATAGTTTATTTAAACAAGTTTCAAATGGTTTATCTTTGCTATATAACACCATATCATTAGTAGATTAGTCATAACTCCTGTCAAGTCATAACTGCCTTGACAGCATTTGGTGTCTGACAGATAAGAGATTAAAGCCACAATATCTATGAAGTTGGCATTGAGGACCAGTCAAGTAAACATTTCTTATGATACATTTACGTTAGAAGAAAATTAGCATATTAGGTTAGGTTGTAAAACAATTAAAAACTATTTGCCAATAGGGTGAGCGCCGTCAATCTACACTTCTATTCAATACATATTACTTCAATGAGCTCATTGTTTCTGCCTTAAATGAATATATATTTTTTAATTAATACATTTTTAGCTAACCGTGATTTGTATATGTACATTTCTGAAATGCATAACTTAGACAGTCACCTCTTATAACAGATCACTCTAAATTGTAATGTAGACGCATACATTTTCTGTAAAGCTGCTTTGAAAACGATATGTATCGTGAAAAGCGCTATAAAATGTGAATATTTTGTCAAAACAAGTCTTAATATCTTATTTTTCTTCGCAGATAAATGTATCTTGTTTTATAGACATTTAGTATACTTTCCTCTAAAATGTGATAGTCTTATTTGTTTTCCAACAATTTTAATTGAGAGTAAAATAATGCTTACATAATTTGTTTCATAAATCCTTTCCATAGCCCATGTTTGTTAACACACGGCCAATCTTCCAGTCTTGTAAGACATATCTAATAATAGTCAGAAAAACGATATATTTTTAAATGGAACCATGGTAGCACGTTATTTTGATGGACATTCTGTTGACTAAAAGAAGCGATTCACCTACACGTCAACTAACTCTCTCACTAGAGTATTAGTTGACTGTCTGTTTAATTTCTGCTAATGTTTTATTTTGATGGTCCCCCAACAAACATTCTACTGACTATAAGTAACTTTACAAGTATTTACAAGTCAATTTATTCTTCTAACCCTACCACTAACAGTATACTAATACTCAACTAATACTCTAATGAGAGTTAAGGCCCCATTATACACACGGCCTTTTTCGTTCCTTGCTTAAAAAAAAAGTTCGAAATATGTGACCAGCAATATATCCGACGCTGCCCACACTACCGAGAGTGACAAATGAATATGTAAATATGTGCTGTGCGCTTTCATCTCAATAACAAAATAAACACAACAAAATTGTGAAAACAGCAAGCATTTTTTTTAAATCAAGCATAAGAAAAGCATCTGATCATAGCAACATGGATATGTTTGCACGAGCTCTGCAATTCGGCACTCTAGTAAAGTCACGTCATGTTGCTTAAAATCAGGCAGCTTTACCGTATTGAACATTAAAAAATAGTGTCAGTGTCTCTTTTCATCAGAAGTAAAACTTAATTTTCTGCTATAAAGCAGCTTTCAAGTGTGTTCATGTTTTCACTCGCGGACGATTGACCTCGACGGACTGAACAGAGTAAATGAATCAGAAAAGATTTTGACATGAAAGAAGGCGGAGCCTGCGCACACACCTGCAATCGGACCAATGGTAGTGCAAAGGTGTTTACCAGCCGGAGCAAACTTTTACGGAAACTCCAAATGAAGTTCATTTTGGCTTGATTTTTTTTTTTTTTAAATGACATCACATTTAGTAGCTTGAAGAATATCGGGACCTTTAGGGTACGTTTACATGACAACGATATGCTTAAAAAGTTTTCCGCGTACTGACGTACTTTCCGCATTGTCAAAATAATCCCCATTCACGCGGATCCGCTAAAACGACTAAACAAGCTGTATTCTGCTACCAGGCCATTAGATGGCGATAAAACACTATAGACTGAACACGTACATGTAACACGTATGTGCATGACGTCATCATCTTCAGAGATTCACGTTTTTGTTGTTTACATCGAGACCGTTTTCAAAAACTTGCACTTTGAATCCAGTTTTCAAAAGTTTGCGTTTTCAGGCACCCAAACCACCGTTGTCATGTAAACGAGCGGCCAAAGCGCATACAAAGTTTTACGTTTTTAGCTAAAAACGGTGTCGTCTTAACAGCCCCTTAGTTGACATGTAGGTGGAACGTTTCGTATAGTCAACAGAATGTTTAAAGGGGACCATTAAAATGGAACCTTTAGACAAAATACCCCCCAAAAGGTAAGGTAACCTGTATAAAATACCCCATGTTCAAAATTAAATGTGAGGATGTGTTCTCAGGATCATGTGATCACAAAAGGCAAAATTACTTGAAATGGCCATGAATGCCATGCAGCCTTTGCTAATGACCTCATAGTCCTCCCTGAAGGGATCCAGTTGCTCATATTCGCTGGGAAAGACCTGAATTAATGCGGCAAAATTCTGCAGGCAAAATGCACTAATTTCAATAAGAATCTGCACGATCAAGAATTTCTCCCCACACGGGTTTCGGGTTCAACTAAGTTGCACTTTGAACACATTAATTCACTGCAATCACTAACATAAAGTTACATTAGTGTCATAAAAAGGGTAGACATGATTTTAAGAAACAAGTCATTGTGACATTACAAAGTTAAATTTCTGTAAGGCTTACTGAGGTTCCATGCAATTATAACGCATTTCTGTGTCCAGCCACAGACTTAGCCTATTTCTAGTTGTACATTCTGTGATGCACTGTAAACTGAAGGCTTATTAATGTTGTAAAGTGAAAACTTTAGTGATTTTTTATTTAGTTAGCAATGGTTTTAATGACAATTTACATAACCACATACATATTTACAGTGCTTTCTGTCTGATAAAGGTTTGCATCCCCTGACACAGTGAACTGAGTAATTATAAAGCTGATGTGTAAAAGTGACACTCCCTTTCTAGTGTAGAATGGCATGAGAAGGATTTCAAACACATGACTCAACAGGTGTGATGCAATCTAATCCTGCTGTAGTTGATGCACTTTCTGGATTGCTTTTGCAGACACTATGCTATTTGCTAAAAGTGTTAATAGTTGCTTAAAATAAGTTAATGTTTTATTTTATAAGTGTGTTTTTTTTTCAAGGCATGTTTGAGCACTTACAGGTTCGATCTTTGAACAAACAGGTGCAATTTCTGATAAATGCAGTTGAAAATGTAAATCAACACCTAAACAAACAATTTAGTGAATATTTCGATTTCAAATATCAACAGTGTCAGTACTCAGAAATCGCTTTCTGTACCTTTAATATATAAATATACATAAAACATACATGAAATTTACAACAATGTTGTATGTGGGATTGGGAAGCATAGGTGAATGAGCAAATACCTGAAATTAGACAATAATGAGAGGAAATAACTATCACATGTGACCACTACTCCTCCAGAAGTTGTAAAAGTAATGTGAAATAAACTATTTAAAAAAAAAAAATATATAATTATAATTTGTGATCATATTAATGTCACAGAGGAAGCAGATGCAGGGTTTTTTTTAGCAGGTAACGGGTGAATCGCAGATAATGCAGATAAGTGAACAACATGAGTTATGCTAATATTAGAGGTTCAATAAAGAACGTTGGCAACCAAAAAGTTTCGGTTCCCATTGACGTCCATGTTTTTTTTGTCCATTCAATTGAAGTTAGTGGGAACTGAAACTGTTATTCTTTAACTATCTTCCTTTATGTTCCACAGAAGAAAGAAAGTAACACAAAGTTGGACTACCCCAAGTTAAGTCGACAGCATAACAACTTCTTGAGCTTTGTATAAAAGTTTTTGAAAACCATGTGAAAACCAACATGAATACAAAGAGTAGGCATACAACTCTGCACATCTATTTGAAACTATGTCCGGGTCCGCCTGTAAACTGTTGTAACAAGCATTTAGATAAAAGGTTTTTAAGATTCCTTTATAATTTCCCATTTAACTGTGTCCAAACGTCTCATTCATTCAAAGAATGACTGATTAAAAAGAGATCACTGTCTCTGGATATGTCCTAGAAACTAAACTTCTGATCATCCAATGCTCTGGATTCTGAACATTGTTTTCTTTTTCAGGAAATGTACACCTACGATTGTTTGATAGAATCAAAGTACTTCCCTTTATTGCACTTTTGAATAGAACAGAAACTAGAATGAGTGAAACCATTACTCGGCATGTCACTGTGTTGTGTGTAGGTGTTACAGT